TTTATAATTGTTTTTTTTATTAAAATATAATTAATAGAGTTTTGTAAATTGAAAAAATCTTTTTTTATTATTTTTAATTTATTTTATAAAGTTAGAATAATATATATATATATATATATATATGTAGTGTATTTTGAGTTAGATAGTTCACAACCTTCTTCTGATATTTATTATAACCCCATATCTATATAAAAATATGTATCGACCTTGTAACAATGGAAGTGAAAAATAAACAAAGAAGTAAAGGTAGACCAGACGGCGACAAGGCGATGGCCAGAAAGTGGCGTGATTACAGTAGCCAATCAGGAATCACCGCCATATGCGGGAATCCAATATAAAAGGGCCCAGAAAAGAGACAAGGTAGTTGTTTTCAGAGTGACGCCGTTATACGGTCGGTCGGATCTCTCACCCCCTTCTATCCACAAGTAGGCTTAGGTCATCCGCGGCGCCCGTGGTCCGCCTGCCTCCGTCCGTGGTCTATTCCTACCTCTTGGAGCTACCATCTAGACCTGCCTCTGTTCCTTGCTGTCCCCGTGCGGGAATCCCATCACGCACCCACGACTGCCCAGTACATTCCACATCGGCTTGGTCGGGATTACTACAGAACGCGTTAAAGTCGACAGGATAATTGAGGACAGCAGCATGCAGAGGATGACGGAGGTCGGAGACGAATACGTCGCGGATGCCCTCACCAACATGCAGCCCCACTGCGAAGACCTAGTAAGCCGCCTAACAGACGCCATTCGGGGACTAGCCGTGTCTCGTGCGGAGGAGGCCCTCATCTCCCCTTTCGACGGATCCTACGCAGCAAGCAACTTCATCCAGCAACTCAAGCCGGAATCATCCTTTCCAAGGTACTTTATATCTATCTACCTGTCTTCCATGCTCCCACTTTCCTACTATTTTAGTTTTCGCATATAATAAATAATGCCTATTTTCTTAGTTATAGCCCTTTTTCCCAAATAATTTTAAATATCAATTTTGCCATAGTTGTTTTACCTTTTAAATTGCACCACCCCTTTAATCCTTTTAAACATTATTTTGCTCTGCGTAATTTGTACCTAAAATATATCTCACATTCCATAGTTTACTTTTGAAAATTTGCAATTAGGTTTAATCATTTACAACTATAAATTCTAAATACCAAATGTAAAACAGTCGGCCAAGAGGACAACAACAAAATCAATGTGCCTATTTTATCACATCTTCAATATTTTATTAAACTGTCTTTAACATTTTAAAAAATCATATTTCCACTATATTTTCGATATGATCGCAATACCTTATGGCTTCACATTTCCATCTTGTGTTTAAATTCCCTAACTTTTAATATTTTGATATTTTTCTCATTTAACTTCATTACTTAATGTTATTATTTAAAAAAATTGCATTTTGAACTCCATTGCCTATTTACTGTGTTAATATCTAAATGCGTTTCTGCCAAAATGTAAATTTAGCAAAACCAATCAGCACATGCACTAACCACAAATAATTATTCCTTTTCAGAAAAATGTCCTGTTATTTTTTATCTCCCACAAACCTTGTTAACCCTAATTGCCAGCTAACTGATGCTCGAACTAAATTGTCTCACCCTGATTTTCCGACCCAATTTAACCTCCTATTGCATAACTATCAACACATATTTTCTGAAAACAAATTTGATGTCCCCACTTTAAACATTCCCCCGTCAAAATTAACACTACGTCTAACATAATAATTACACTCAGGCCCTACACAGAAAGCGTCCCTCATATATCCTGATCTATTGATAAAAGTATTCGCAATATTAACTCGACTAGAAAAACATTTGGTACACAGGCGCCACTGAGTGGCAAACAATCCATGTTACATAAATAGCTATTATATTACCGTCCTCCCAAAACAAAACACAACGCCCGCCACCGCGGTGTTCACTTTCTCGCGCCACTTTGGCGCCTGCCCGTTAGATTGTCGCCTGTTCAAACATACATTTTGATTTCGCACTTTTCTAGATTGTTCACATCAATTTTAATTCCTCTCGCATATCCCATATTCCATTCACATATTTCGCATGATCATAAAACATTTATTTATACACTTGTTAATGAATTAATTCTTTTATAGCAAATCTTATTTTTATAATGTTATAAGATAGTTTATCGTTTTGTAAATCCCGTTTAAAAATTAGGTCCCCATCATCTCTAAAATCGATCCTGTACATGAGACCAAAGGAGACGCCATCTTGGCCTCCTAAAAGGACAATTAAATCCCCAAAATGGCGTCCATCGCCACGACACTATTCCAATCTTCATCCCAACGACCAACCAGCTCAAGGACACACTGAACTCCCCCCCCAGTTTTTTTCTACTTCGTCTCTCCTTCCCTACTTCTAAAAGGGTGGAATGACCTTTGTATCCACCATTAGGAGAGATATTCCTTCCTACTTCAACAATCTTGCCTGTCAATCATTCAATTATAGGGCCACATTGCCTCCCCGTATGCCAAATTAGAAAGATATCAGTAATCTTGCACCTACACCTAGACATTGTGTGTAAATATGTTCCATTTTTTCAGGAACGAATATTTTTGTTTTCTTTTAACTTTTCTCTCATTTATGTGTAAATAGACTTACAGTTTTACTAGTTTTGTGGAGTTGGACTTTGTTTTTTAACTTACAGATGTAGATAAAACATTTCACTATTAATCGATAATATCATTTTGTTTATTAACCATCAACATTAATGCCATCAACTACCAATCAACCCTTTATATATTATTACCTTTAATATTTTTATTTTCTTTTTTTCATCATGTTTAGACTTAGAATTTTACAACTTCAACTATTTTAGGCACCATTTTAAAAAAACCTACACCTAACAATATTTATAATATTTCTTAAACAGATAAAACATTTATCATTTTATTTTCTCAATAGATTTTCAAAATGTTATTTTTGACGCTTCCCTTACAACCTCTAACTCTACGCATTAACCTTTCCTCCCAACTTTTTACGCCCATCAAGAGATTATTGTTCGTCAGCCTTTTTTTTTCATTGATTAATCCGACTGGAACAATCCTTCCTAGCTATACCATTCCCAATAGTGAGTTCAGGATATCCAGTGCGATCTTTTTATTTTTTTTTCTCATAGTCCGGCTCATCATTTTTTCATTTTTAAACTTTTTCTTTCCACCACACAAGTCGGACACAATAAAAATTGACAACAATAAATCTCTTACATCCACCTCTCCTTTTCCGCATCCTTCAAACCTCCAACTACCTTCCAAGGGATTCCAGTTCGCCGAAATTTTTTTTTTCATTGATTAATCCGACTGGAACAATCCTTCCTCGCTATACCATTCCCAATAGTGTGTTCAGGATATCCAGCGCGAACTTTTTGTTTTATTTTTTTCATCGCCCGACTCATCATTTCAATTCACCATTTTTTTCAAATTTTCACTTTTTTTTCATAAATCAACCGGGCACAATCATTATGGTCAACAGGGATCCCTCTTACCTCTACCTCTCCCTTTTACATCCATAAATCTACCCAACTCTTTTCACTGTCTGAGCTAATGATGCAGACGGAATATCTTAGGCCTTCTGTTAATGAAAACAATGCCTCACTTAAACAAGTTCGCATTGCATTGAAGAATGCTTGGGATACTACTATGTAGAAACATGCTCAGATATCATCTTTACCTTTTTCAACCTTAGCGTCACATTATACGTTCAGTCAATAAACTAACTTCATTTTTTTCCCTCTCATCTTTTATGCAATAAGATATTATTTTCCTTGTACGATTCATTTTACCATATTTACCATTTTGTATTATATAATTTCTCTTAATCTTATATCATTCATTTGTGCGTTTTTATTTTTATAACCTTGATTTTTATTTCATTGATACACCACCATTACACAACATCTTTCTCTTTTTAACTTGTAGCTTAATAATAATTTTAACTAATTTGTATACAAATTATTTCTTTTATTTTTTTATAATATGTTTGTTAGGTCATCATTCATTACATGTTATTCCCCCAACCAAACCTTCATCACCGGGGGAACATTCTGTAGTATATTTTGAGTTAGATAGTTCACAACCTTCTTCTGATATTTATTATAACCCCATATCTATATAAAAATATGTATCGACCTTGTAACAATGGAAGTGACAAATAAACAAAGAAGTAAAGGTAGACCAGACGGCGACAAGGCGACGGCCAGAAAGTGGCGTGATTACAGTAGCCAATCAGGAATCACCGCCAAATGTGGGAATCCAATATAAAAGGGCCCAGAAAAGAGACAAGTTAGTTGTTTTCAGAGTGACGCCGTTATACTGTCGGTCGGATCTCTCACCCCCTTCTATCCACAAGTAGGCTTAGGGCATCCGCGGCGCCCGTGGTCCGCCTGCCTCCGTCCGTGGTCTATCTCTACCTCTTGGAGCTACCATCTAGACCTGCCTCTGTTCCTTGCTGTCCCCGTGCGGGAATCCCATCACGCACCCACGACCACGACTGCCCAGTACATTCCACATCGGCTTGGTCGGGATTACTACATATATATATTATATAGTTTTTTTACCTAGTTAAAGAAAGATAAACATATTTTAAAATTTTGCCAATTATAAATTATGTTTTGGAACCCTAATGGTAGACCAGGACAATACAATAAAGAGGAGATTGGATATTCTGTTGGAAAGAGAAATCTGTGGTATCAGGGTTCTTCAGATGAAAATACCACACCATTTCACCTTTCCTTCATTATGGTTAGATTTCTCTTCAACCATTTTAGTGTGTGATAAAGTTAAGATTAGCTAACATAGAATAAGGTTATAATACAATATAATATAATGCGGCTTGTGATTGTGAAACGACATTTAAAAATTATCCAGCATGAGTTTCTTTTCAATGAAAAATCAAAATTTATTTAAAGGAGAAATAACGATTATTTCTAACTTTAAGGATGAGGTATGAAAGGATGAATTGTGAAGAGTAATGATAAACGGAAAAAAAAAGTGTCCAAAGATGGGAATCGAACCCAACAGTGTTCCGCTTACCGGGCAGATGCCATGTCCACTAGGCTACCCTGGACATATTTTTTCGTTCGTAAATAATACATAAAGTAATTTATAATACAATATAATATAATGCGGCTTGTGATTGTAAAACCACATTTAAAAATTATCCCGCCTGAGTTTATTTTCAATTAAAAATCAAAATTTATTTAAAGGAGAAATAACGATTATTTCTAACCTTAAGGATGAGGTATGAAAGGATGAATTGTGAAGAGTAATGGTAAACGGAAAAATAAACTGTGGGTTCGATTCCCATCCCTGGACACTTTTATTTTTCCGTTTATTATTACTCTTCACAATTTATCCTTTCATACCTCATTCTTAAGGTTAGAAATAATCGTTATTTCTCTTTTAAATAAATTTTGATTTTTCATTGAAAAGAAACTCATGCGGGATAATTGCATTCTAGGAAATTAAATTCAGGAGAGAGAAATTTGTTTTTCATACTAGTCCTATTGATGAATATTTCAATATCTTTTAATATAGATTTAATTTTTTGTTTTATTGAAATTGTGTTTGATCTGAGGTATATATTTATATTCTCTATTTAAATTGTTTTGGAGTTTTTTGGTTAAAAAAAAGAGCAATCGCTAGTTAAAATATGTCCTGTAAATTTATATTCATCTAGAACATTGTGGCAATTACATTTAGATTTTTTTAAATGTGTAAGATTATTAAAAAACTGGTTATAATTGCATAATATACTGCCTATATTGCCAGGTAGTTTTAAAATTTAAACCCTTTATAGGAAATAAACTGTTAATAGATTGGTCATTAAATATAACATTGAATTTGAAATGATAAAATAATGTGTTATTGAATTTAATAATAATATTAATTTAGTTAGTTTTTGTTAAATATTTCTGTATTTGAAGATGTCGTGTGTGATTTCTATTAATCTGTTAGAATTATTGTGAGTTTTCATGTGTTCCACAAGTTTTATAAATTTGCTATTATTTAATTCAAATAATGTTTTAATAAAATTTCCAATTACATTTTTGTGTAAATTTTGTTTGTGTTTAATAAGTTCTTAAAGTTTATAAAGCCTAATTTGTTGGTAGTTTTACCTCTGGTTTTGACTGAATTATTATTAGAGTTATGTTTTTTGTATTTATTACTAACAAGCGGACGTACCCGGCTTCGCGCGGGTTTTACCCGAGTAAAGGTTTGTCTATCGAATCTCTCGATAAAGTGAACATTTTTTTCCCGGTCCCTTGAAAAATACTCGATAAGTTGAATAAAATCAATATTAATTGGTTCCCTCGGTAATTGGAAGTTAAAGGAATAGTATCTTGCCTTGGAATTGTATCATTATTCTTGTCTCAAATAAATTGCCGTGTCATACTGAATTTTGTCTTTCCTAATTTTCTACATTACAAAATCATCGTATCATCATGATAATATTAGAGCAGATTGTTGAATCATAACAGATAAATTAGAATATTTATCTTGATTATTTCTAAGCGAAAATTTATTTCAAAAATTTTATTTGCTAGAAACCTTCCCAGTACTCTACTAAATAACTTCCCAAAGTTTCATGGCGTTCCAATGAGTGGTTTGGTCAGGCATAAAGGACAGACAGACACACACACATACATTCACTTATATATATATAGATTTCATAGATTGATAATCCAGATGGTTGTGGTGTGTATGTGTGGTTAAGTTCGTCGTTAAGTCCATAAAGGTATAAGTGTTGGGTTGATAAATGTAATTGTCTTCTAAAAATAATCGTTTTTTTTTTTGTCTTGACAAATGTCAAGTATTTCTATAATGTAATTTTTAAAGTTAAGTATTTTATTGAGTTATTTCTATGTAAATTAATTCTTATGTTTAAAGGATTGCAAGTTTTTCCTATATATGAAAGTTGACAAATTTGGCAAGTTAATTTATAAATGGTGTTGACTATCTTACAACTAGGCGTTTGAAATGTGTTATGGTTCTTGAAAGATGGGCAAGTTTGACATTTCTTATTTAAACAATTTTTAGTGAGTTTAGAGATAATAGTAGGGGCGCTAACCCTAGAATGTTTGTAGTTTTTTTTCAAGTTTTTTAATTTGTTATTCTTTAAAATATATTTTTCAAATAAATAATTATTATTTGTTATAGATGTAAGTTGAATTAATTAATAATTTGTTTCATAATAAATGCAAATTGTTGTATGTATGGCTATAGTAATTATAAGAATAACTAATAAAAACATCTTTAAACTAACTAAACACTGAGAAATAAAATTCTGTGAGTATTATGTGATTATAATTACTTTTACATTTTAATCTTTCCTTTAAAATTTAAATTATACCTTTTGGAGATGTAAATAACAGTGTTTATCTAATAAAAATTGCAATCTTAAATATAACTTAAATTAAGTTGTTAACATAGAGCAAGCTCGTATGAATTTATATGAAATGTAAATAATAAAGTTTATCTAATAAAAATTAAAATCTTAAATATAACTTAAATTAAATTGATATGATAGAGCAAGCTCATATGAATTTATAGAGTGACAAAAATATATTTTTTGGTATGAAAGAGAATTATTTCTACAGAATGATGTAAGTTAGCATATATTCCGCTATGTAGATGACATTATTATCTTGAATAACCCACAATTCAATAATGTAATATACCCTAAATATTTGAAACTTAAAAACAATGTAAAGATAACGAATAACATAAAGGTTAACTATTTAGACTTAAATATAAACCTTGCAAACAAATCAGTTGGAACATATGACAAAAGCATTTGCTATATAATTTTAAAATTATTAAATTCTGCAGTGGTAATTCCAACATATCATTAAATTGCTGCAAAGGCATATATTTTGGTCAATATTTAAAATCTTATAACAATATTAAAACAAATTTAATGAATGACATTAAAAATCTTAATAAAGAGTATTTAAACAACGGTTTTAAATACAAAACGGTAAGGTTTTTCAATAAACTAGCAATACACAAGTACCTAAATAAATATAATTATAAATTTGAAACTTCAAACTTGTCCAAATAATCTAACTAACAACTCATATTCTACTCTTATAGTAAAACAAATGATAGAAGAACTAAATATATTTTATCTGACTTTAAATAAATTAATTATTTGATAACAATTATAAAGCATTAAATTAATTCAATTTGATCTCCAGTTACTATGGGAGGGAACTGGAAAACAAATATAAATGAATTTGAGCATAATAAATGTTTTATTATTCAATTAATTCATAATTTTAAAAAATATATTGACTTAAATCAATGGAAATAAGAACTTAATCTATATTTTCACAATGTTTACAATTTCTAATTGTTCATTTCTGACAGCTTTTCTAACTTTGAACAACTTTAAAAATAAGAAATATATTTCCAAGAAGAAGGGAGGTTACTTTTAGAACAAAGTTGACGTGCCCCAAACTGCCACATGTTACATGTCCACACATGTCCACTTTCTCTAGGGAACAACAGACGTCACTTTGAATAGGCAAGTAAACAACTTTATTCTATGTTAACTAATCTTAACTTTATCTCCCACACTATAATTGTCGAAGAGAAACCTAACCATAATGAAGGAAGGCTGAAATAGTGTGGTATCTTCATTTGAAGAGCCCTGATACCATAGATTTCTCTTTCCAATAGAATATCCAATCTCCTCTTTATTGTATTGTCCTTGGCTACCATTAGGGTTCCAAAACATAATTTATAATTGGCAAATTTTTAAAATATGTTTATCTTTATTTAACTAGGTAAAACACTATATAATCTTATTCTAACTTCAGCAGTCGCTAACTACCCACCATGATTAACATGGCCTGTGCCACGTGTACTAGGGATAAGCAAAAAAAAAAATTATAACTTTATAAAAAAAAATAAAAATAAAAAAATATATATATTTTTTTATTTACAGAACTCTATTAATTATATTTTAATTTAAAAAAACAAATATAAAATACAAAATATACTTCAAAAATCTTTAATTATCCAAACTATATATAAAATACTAACACCCTATCAATTTTTCTACCTTATTTTAAATAAAAGTGTATGGTTCTTTCATTTATCTCTTTCATATCTTTAACTGAAAAATAAATATATATTCATTATAAATCTCTTTCTTTATTCCTATATACGAGTATCTATCAGAATTTGTCTAACTGACGGGTAACAGCCGAATATAAAAGTCGTTACGTTGTTATAATTTTTTTTTGTTAAATTTTCTTTCGTTTTTATAATTTTTTCTATTAAAAAAAACATCAATATAAACCTGATTCTAACCAATATAATTACTTTTATTACCTTTTTCTCTCCTTAATAAGATTTAAATATAATTTATACAAACAACTGTTTAATTATTTACCTTAAACACAAAAAATTATTAACTTTTATCTATGTTCAATTTAGATTTAGCTTACTAATCTAATACAATTCTCTATTTATCTAAAATATTACTTTTATTTCAAGCTTTAAATATATTTTTGTCTATATATATAGACTTCTAAAGACCTCTAGAAGCCTATGTAATTAAATACATAAGTGCTAAAATATTTATAACATTGTAGCGAAATATTTGATTTTTTCTCTAGGCATAAATATATTGCCGTGACATCTTGAAGTTTGTCTTTCCAAATTTTCTATGTGAGAGTATATTCATATTGATACTCTCTTCCCTCGATGATATTTCAGGCCATTGAATATTTCGGGCATTTGAAATTGTAAAAATCACGGCAATTCTAACACACATATTTACTTTTAAAATTGACAAAACCGTGATAATAAATAAAAGTTATTGTGTCAAAATACGACAGTCACCGTTGAAATTGCAACATATCGATATTTCAGTGTAAATCAGGTCTATGTATTTACGAATAATTCTTACCCGGAATTCTTAAAATAAAGGCAATATTGTTCGACGAAGCATGCCTGTTTATTGGAGGAAAATATGTAAGCTTTCGAGCACAATATGCTAGAAATATTAGAGTGATATAGCGATTATAACAAGACTGAGATTTATAGGACATTATA